TGAATTTTTGATTTGATATTCAGTTGAGTGCTAACTCTCGCTCAGAGTGATACGATATAAGACCTGAATAAAATTGCAATCTATCACTCCATGACTTAAGTTGTCATGAATTTTATTATTTTTTATTTTAAATAAGGAATGGTACTAGTATTGACCATTCGTAAAGGTATTAAAAATAAGGAATGGTACTAATCCAATACTCCGTAAAGGTATTAAAAATAAGGAATGGTATTAGTATTTTTATCATCACTATTTATTAGGGATTAAAATCTCCCGAAATTAAATAGTGCGAGCGATGCTCTAGTAATAATTATTTTCACCGTCATTTTAATTAATGGCCGGTTGTTGTGGGCTCGTTGGTCCGCTCCCGATCAGCTTTAATTAGCGAGCGGAGCATATCACTATTACTATCCCCAATAAATAATAGTGATATAACAGGTAATAGTAATGATAATATCCTACCAAAGGCCATTCAGATATGCTCCGCTCGCTAATTAAAGCTGATCGGGAGCGGGCCAACGAGCCCACAACAACCGGCCATTAATTAAAATGACGGTGAAAATAATTATTACTAGAGCATCGCTCGCACTATTTAATTTCGGGAGATTTTAATCCCTAATAAATAGTGATGATAAAAATACTAGTACCATTCCTTATTTTTAATACCTTTACGGAGTATTAAAAAAAATGCAAGAACAGGGTACTTAGCTTCAAAAATAGATATTCGGCCAGTGGAGTTTTGTGGAGTCAGATTTGCTCCCTTGCTTGTTGTCAATTTGGACTTGGTCAAAGTTATCCCAAATCCTCCCATTGACCAAGCTTAATGTTCTCATACGGGCTGAAATAATGAGCTCATATAGCAATTGGACCCTCAATCCCTTGAGCAGTTCGGCTGACTCCTCATTTACCCAAATAATGCAAAAGTGCTCCGCTCGTCTTTCAATGCTATCTCCCTTTTGAGATTCCGGCCCTTCGTACGTGGCCTGCTAACAGCCAGGCAAGGAGCATCTTTGGAGAGGCAGAGGATAACCCCTACCAAAGTCAAGCAATACGGGTCGGCCGCTGAGTCGCTGACCGAGGGTGGCGATGGAACCTGCTGCAGAGTAGGGGTGGCCGGAAGAGCTAGTCTCCGGCGGAAGCTCGACCAAACTACCGACTATACCTCTTCTGAGCTCGGAACCACCATTAGTGGTGGAAATCATGAGGCTCTTAATTGATAGAACCCCCAGGTCGCGTCGGCTTCAGACCGCTGTTGACGAGCGGTGGTGTGCGACTCAGGCAGTGGGCGGCGGCGAAGCCTGAGCAACAGTGCTGCGTGCGGTGCGGCCTAGGACGCTGCCGGAGCCCATCTGGTGCAGCTCCCCTCGCCGGAGGAGCCCATGGCGGCGGGAATGGTGACGGTGGTCCTTGCCACCCCAGCCTAGATCTAAAAACTACGGACTAAGACTTCCAGACTTTACAGCTTCTTCTCCTCCAATTCTTTCTTTCCCATAATCTTTTTTTTTTAATTTTTTCTTCTTTTTTGCTGGAATCAGGACATGTTTACTTCACCGGTTATTAAACGGTGCTTATTAAGACCCGTGTTAATAAGCGGCGCATAAAATAAACAATGTTGTAAGACCGTGTTTACTTCAAACGGTTTAAAACACCTCTTAACATTAAAATGTCCAAAATAACCCTATACATATATATACACACAAACATTCATGAACACAAGTATATAATATAATATGTGTACTCATAACCCTAGCCCCTTACCCACCCTACCTTACCCCGACCCCACCCACCGCCTACCCCTACCCCCTACCCCTACCCTACCTACCTGACCCCACCCTACCTACCCGACCCCACCCTACCTTACCCCTGACCCCATAGGCCCCCATAGGCCCGTAGGGGTAGGAGTAAGGTGGGGTCGGGTAGGGGTAGGGTAGGTGGGGTAAGGGTAGGGGTGGGGTGGGGTGGGTGGGGTTGGGTGGGGTCGGGGTAGGTGGGGTAGGGTAGGGTGGGGTAGGTAGGGTGGGGTAAGGGTAGGGTGGGGTGGGGTCGGGGTAGGGGTGGGGGTCGGTTAGGTAGGGTAGGGGTGGGGTAGGTAGGGTGGGGTCGGGGTGGGGTGTGGGGTAGGGTGGGGTCAGGGTAGGTGGGGGTCGGTTAGGTAGGGTAGGGGTGGGGTCGGGGTGGGGTAGGGGTAGGTGGGGTAAGGGTAGGGTGGGGGTCGGTTAGATAGGGTAGGGGTGGGTCGGTGTGGGTAGGGTAGGTGGGGTAGGGTCAGGGTAGGTGGGGTAAGGGTAGGGTGGGGGTCGGTTAGGTAGGGTAGGGGTGGGGTAGGTAGGGTGGGGTCGAGGTAGGGTAGGTGGGGTAAGGCTAGGGGTGGGGTGGGGTCGGGGTAGGTGGGGTAATTAGGGTGGGTCGGTTAGGTAGGGTAGGGGTGGGGTAGGTAGGGTGAGGTGGGGTAGGGTAGGTGGGGTAAGGGTAGGGTGGGGTCAGGGTAGGTGGGTAAGGGTAGGTGGGGTCGGGGTAGGTGGGGTTGGGGTCGAGGTGGGGTAGGGATAACAATAGGTTACGGGCAAGGAGTAAATTCGGAAACTGAAAAAGCTTAAAGTGCCGCTTAATTAATACATGGGGGGTGGTATGCTTAATAAGCGGCACTTTAAGCACCTCTTTCGGTTAGTAAGCGGCTTTTTAAGCAGTGCGCGTGTTTACTTCACCTGTCTTACTAACCTAACTGTGACTTTAGCAGTGAAGTAAACACCTCCTCAGTCTACTTCGAGTGAATCTCTCTCTGTAGAAACTCAAGAACAATAGAACACATGAATCTTTTTGGACAGATTCCCACAGACGGCGCCAATGTTGAGTTTAATCCAACACGATATAGTAAATATATGTATAAATGTGTATGAACAAGCTATTTTTACGTGGAAACCCGGAAGGGGAGAAAACCACGGGACTTTTTAGGCTAATGTACAAGCCCTCTCATTCTCATTAGAACTCTCCTCACCATTACATAGTACAATATTCAAGTTCCTATTAATGGAGGATCAAGCTAATCTAGAGAAGAAGGAAGGAAGGGCTCCTTTACATGGAGGGAAAACCTCCTATAAATAAGAAAAGGGGTGATGGAAGTACTCCACCCTAATGGGCCAAACGGGCCGATGTCGGGCCTAATGGCCAAAGTGGGCCAGAATGGGCCGAAATGGACCTAGCTGCTCGGGCTCCGTACTGGATAATGTCTTGGGCTCCTGAACAGTAATAGGCCGGGATAATATATCCCAACAAAATTTTTTAAATATTATTTAGTTTTATTAAAATAATAAATTTTTGTGAAGAAAAATTCATCAAAGGTTAGCAATGGAATTAATGAAAAATTAAATAAATCAAAATGTGTAAAATATTAGGTTCTAAGCTGGATTGATTGTTTTCAATCTTTCGATGGCTATATCGATATATTTCATCTTTCAGGTTTGAAATTAATAATTCATCTATCTTTGAAGTCCTTAAAGTTGACATAATCGTTGAGTTATGAAAACATTATATCAGGTATATATTATATTTTATTAATAAATAAGGAAATGTTTTTATGAAAATAGTTAAAACATTCTGATAGAGTATATGAGTTCAAGCCCACGACCCACATACTATTGGATACACTGCGGTCCAAGCCCACCTGGTCCAGACTCCTCATTTGGGTCCTCTCAACCAAAGTTAGTCCAGGATACACAACGAGGATTACTGTCCGTACTAATCACTTTGACTAGTGTCTAGTGACACCTCGCCCAACCCTATCCAGATATCCCAGACAGAATCACTCGAGACCAAGGAAAACACTAAGGACGAGCTGTGCACGCACCTCGGCCTACACCACATCGTCCACAAGAAGACATCCGCTCAAAAGTCGGTCAAGGAGTGACATGCGTCACGCTCTGCAGTGCCATAGGGCTCTCCCCATAGAATAGCGTACATGTGTACCTGTTTTTAATGCAACACTCATTTATTACTATTTACTAGTACAAACCCCCTTTAGGACAATTGCAAACGGTTCAAATACCATTCAATACAAAATTAGTTTCTCTCTTCGCTCGTAGTTCTCCCTTCTTTCTAAAATACCACTAGTGGTTTACCGTGATGCGTGAGCTATCACATTCATCTTCAACATATTCAACTAAAGGAAACAAAATAATATTATTAAATTCTACTCTATTTTTTATTACACAATTCAATGTCTGAAATCAATAACTATTTCTTGGATAAAATTGGTCAATAAAGTCAAAAAATGAACAAATATAAATTACTACATACTAAACGCGCTCTAAAAAAATACAAATATACATTACTAAACACACTCTCTGAAAATACTATGTATAAATTACGGAGTACTAAACACGCTTTCATTGAACTTTGTTGACTTTTATTTTTTAATTTATCCAAAAAACTTTATCATTTTATCATCAAAACAACTAATTTATGATTTTAGTCATTTCTTTTTTTTTCGATATAAATTTGAATCACATCAATTTTACTTTTTTAATTCTCACCTCAAATTTGGCAAAGTGGTAAGTGGTCTTCAATCTTCACGGTTGCAAGTGGTGGGTAGGTGGCAGTCATCCGAAGCGACCCGCTTTACCTACCATGAGAAGCTCACCCAACCAACCCACCACCGCTTTACATATAAAACGGAGCAACTGTGCCACCGCAGAAAGTCCGTCTCCAGACTCCAGCCAACGGTTGCCGAGCCAAGCCGACGGGCCATCCGTGTAGAACCGGTTCCACCTCTCGATCAACTCTGGGTTGCAAAGTCAGACTGTCGCAGTTGCATTCTGAAAGTAATTCGCGATCCCCTTCTCCTCCCAGGTCTATTCCTTCCAGCGGTAGCTTTCCTGCTTATGTCGCCTTTGGATTGGTGAAGAAGCAAGGAGGAATAAGGCAGAAACGACCGCTTAGAAATGGCTTCGTCCATCTCAACCACCAAGCAATTCCTCGGAGCTCCATCTTCAGACGGGTACTCACGTCTCCGGTCGCTCCACTCGCCGTCCAATCTCTCGTCTTCCTGCCTCCAAATTCCCGCTCGACGGTCGCACCCCAAACGACTCGGTTAGCTCCAATTCCACTTATACTCTATGAAAAGTGAATTTTTTTCTTCTATTTTCCAATTCCACTTATACTCTATGAAAAGTGAATTTTTTTCTTTAAACATTGTGACTACAGGTGAATAAACATGAACAAATCTGTATGGATTAAGCTCACAAACACAAATGATATATTTTTAGACAAGCTATTTATTATCCATCTCAGTTACTTTCGTGGTAGATTTGGGTTTCCACTGAGGGAAGCTATATGTGATTGATTGCATTGCTCCAGATGGAGATATGAACGTGACAATTCACTTTTATGCAGGCTAGGGGGCAAAGGCAGATTTTATGCTAGTGGTGTCAATATAGTTAGTTTAATAATTTCAACTATAAAAGCTTTTGTTTTATCACCCTTCAACATTTATTCATTTTATGTATGAATTTTTACTAGTTTCAATATCAATCAACACTTCATAGAACATAGTAAACATTTTTTAATAATTGTAATCAAGCAGTATAATCATTCATAGAATTATTTATTTTCCCTTCCATTTTGAAATCCATTACGAAAATAATGGTGCTATTTTTCTCCGCTTCAATTGCATATAAGGATTCAAAAAGCCCTCCCAGTAGTTGCTCTTGTTACTTGTAGTATCAATGCAAAGTTTACAAGTGGAACTGATTAGTAAACAATTTGGAGTTTTTTTTGTCGCCACCATTTCCTCAACAGGAGGATAATCTTCTTTGATTTCCTCAACAGTAGTAGATTGTCAAGTACAAGCATATCCACACATAAAAAGTTTAAAGCATAAAAACCACCAAACTTATCACTCGGATAAATTAAAATCATCCAATTCACGCACATCATTTCTTTTTTCTATTTAGATATTTAAGTTTTTGTAATATATATTGACACTTTTGTTAACTCAGTGGAGTCACTTTTGGAATTTTTCAAAAAGATATCTATAATGTACATGACTAGCCATATTTACCAGTGGTGTTAGCTTAAACCTGTCATCACTACTTAGCGACATCATTGTGTAAGCTTATTATGTTTCTTCTTGTGAAATGCACAGAGATAAAGGCGGTTGGTAATACATTTGGTAATTTTTTCCGCGTGACAACATTCGGAGAATCACACGGCGGTGGTGTTGGTTGCATTATTGATGGATGCCCTCCTCGGCTTCCCCTTTCTGAATCGGATATGCAGGTGGAGCTTGATAGAAGGTACTCAATGCATAATTATCTTTTGTGAAGAGTTAAGATATGTACTTTAATAGTGGACATGCCTTATAAGATTTATGGTTTGTAACACATTCTCTCATCTGATTTCTCTTGTGAAATGTATGTGTAGGAGACCTGGTCAAAGCCGAATCACAACCCCTAGAAAAGAGACAGACACCTGCAAAATATCATCGGGCATTGCTGATGGTTAGACCGTTAGACCACCGCCATTGAAAATTCTATTACCACTTTGGCTCTTCATGTGCATATTTAACTGCCGATGTTTTGGCTATAGGGTTAACAACCGGATCTCCAATTAAAGTGGAAGCTCCAAACACTGACCAGAGAGGACATGTAAGAATCTAGACTACTGCTTTGTATGTATAATCAACAGGGGAAATGATATTAGAAACTTTCAGCAATTGATTCTGGTATGTCCTTAACAGTCATGATGTAAGACTGTAAGAGAGGGCCAGAGGGGTAGTTCTAATGGATTCAGAGTTCAGAATGTATACGTAAAATTGGGTGAGACATGATGTATTCATAGTTCATCTTACCTAGGTTATACTTGGTGATCCTTGAAATGTAGATGAAATGATAATATGTGTATCAGCACTTTGAGTTGCTTGATGAAGACTGAAGCACAATATGTGTATATATGTACTTATTTGGAGGTTGAAACTCCTCAGTGCTTATTATTTCAAAGAAATTGATTGTTACTGCTTACTTTAATGATCCAGTGGTGTTCTATTTGAAGTATATTAAAGGACGTGCCATCTAGTTATATATACTATGACACATTTATATTAGTCGTAGGTTTGGAGGAAAAGACATAGTGCATCCAATCCCTGAAGACGTAGTCATATATGAGTCTGAAATAAATAATGCCTTTGTATTGAGAATTTCCCATGAAGTGTGACGTGAATTTCATAACTTTCTACTTTTCTTTTACCTGGTAATAATGATCTTCTGATATTATTATAATGTATTTTCAGGACTACAGTGAAATGTCACTTGCATATCGTCCTTCACATGCAGATGCTACTTATGACTTCAAATATGGAGTGAGATCAGTACAGGTAATAATCTCATGTGTAATCAAGCAAGTATTCAATTCTTTGGTGCCTAGCGAGATCTTTATATATAATGTGTACACTCTGATATTGTTTCTTGGTCTTTTGATGCTTGATGACTTTATAGGGTGGTGGCAGGTCATCAGCTAGAGAAACCATAGGGAGAGTTGCTGCTGGAGCAGTTGCAAAAAAAATTCTCAAACATTTTTCTGGTACTGAGGTATGTTACTTTTACCTTTCTTGAATTAATTTGGCATTCTAAAATAAGCATGTATCCCAATTATTATCACTATTATTATGTACCTTACAGGAATATGAACTTTTATTGATAAGAATATAATCTTTTTAACCTCACAAGTCACAAGCGTACTCTATCCTATATTTTCAAATAGAATAATGACATTTGAGATTTCAGAGCATCAACTTTAGAAGCCAGTGAATACATTTTGCAATGCTGCAGAGATATACGATAGTATTCATTAAAATTTATGAGGATCTAATGCTCTAAAAACTTACATTAATAGTTCAAGGCGTCAAGTCTTTGGATCTGTTAGTCAAGTGATATTATGGTCTATGGCACAGTTCTTGTCATTCCTTTTGTAGTTTAAGTCTTTAAGAGTAGGAACTATATTCCGGAAAAAGAACTTTGTTTTGCTTGTGAAATCCATATCACATGGTTGGTATAGTAACTTATTGTTGTTTTTGGTTCTAGATTATCGCCTATGTTTCCCAAGTGCATAAAGTTGTGCTTCCCGATGGTTTAGTCGATCACCAGACTGTCACTCTAGATCAGGTATCTATTGGTTTATGTTTTTCCATTAGCACGTTACCATACGGTGAGATCCAGGTGCTTCTATCTTTCCTTTTTAATTGAAAAAGTGAATGGTGATAGATTTGCATTTTGGTATGGTAGTTTATTTTTAATATTTGTTTCGTCTGATTCATTCCTTTCTCACTTGATGGTGCCAGGTTGAAAGCAATATAGTCCGATGCCCAAATTCTGAATATGCAGAAAAGATGATAGCTGCCATCGATGCTGTTCGAGTAAAGGGGGATTCTGTTGGTGGGGTTGTCACATGCATTGTTAGAAATGCTCCACGAGTAAGCTCATCTTCAACCTTGTCATTTTAATGTATACAGATGCCTTCATTGCATATGCCTAGGTGCATTTATCATTTAGGATAAATTGTAACAATATAAGTGTTATTTAATCAGCTGGTTTACTTTTACTAGGGTCTTGGTTCTCCTGTTTTTGACAAACTCGAAGCTGAGCTAGCTAAAGCTTGCATGTCATTACCTGCAACAAAAGGTTTTGAGTTCGGCAGTGGTTTTTCAGGTACATACATACAGATTTTCCAGTCCACACATGCTGTCTTCTTCTTAATGCTAATGACCCCCCCCCCCAAAAAAAAATAAAAAAATAAAAAAATAAAATGAAGACAGTGTATGATTTTGGATGTGAAGCTTTTTAGGCATTACACACTTATACCCCGTTCCGCTAATGGAAACAAAGTACAGTATGTCCTCTTCTTGTATGCTAGTTTTGATGTCCTTTTTATGTCCCTGATGCAGGCACGTTTATGACTGGTAGTGAGCATAATGATGAATTTTATGTGGATGAAAATGGCCGGATCAGAACAAGAACCAACCGATCTGGTGGAATACAGGTATTGCTTATGTTAAGTATTAGTTCTATTGGCAAACACACTGAAATGGTTTTCTTTTTAATCGAAAAAATTTGTGTTTTCTGTATTTTTCAGGGTGGAATATCTAATGGAGAAATTATTAGCATGAAAATAGCTTTCAAACCTACATCCACAATTTCAGTATGTTTCCATCTTTTATTTTGAATGTTCATTGGGCCCATTGCCACATGGTGGGAGAGTTTAGTGCTTAACAGTTAACACCCAATAGTTCTGTTTGTTATCTTGAATAAAGTAATATCCCTTCAAAATGATATCATTATCTCTTGTGGTATGGTGAAACTGTAGTAAATAATGAATGTTTAATTGTTAGTTTCAATAAATTTATCACATGTGATTTGTCAGTAACTCTTTTTAATTGTCGGCATTCATTAAATGAAGAATTAGCTTTGAATCTTTGATTGATCAATCTGGACATGTTTTTGGACAAAAGATGTTTGGAACATGACTCTTTTGACTTGGACATGAATACTCCCTCGGTCCCACAATAGTTGCCAAAGTGAATTTCCACTTGGAATAAGAAAGTAAAAAGTGTGCGATTAAAATTTTTGTAGAGAGCAGAGAAATTAAAGTAACAACAAATTTGTTACTTTAAAAGGAAATGACCATGTCTTTTGGGATGTCTAAATAAGAAAAGTTGGCCAACTTTAGTTGGAGGGAGGTAGTATATTTTATGTTATGTAATCAGTAAGCAGGCTTTCCTCCAATAGCTGGTTTAGTATTTCCAACTGTACATGGTTGGTTCACATGCTCTTTTGATGATGATTCGCAGAGAAGGCAGAATACAGTGACAAGGGATGGGCATGAGACTGAGCTCATTGCACGGGGTCGGCACGATCCGTGTGTTGTTCCTCGAGGTTTGTTTTGTTCCTGAATTCCGAAACCATTTTATTTTTGTTATTATTTGTTCAGGCTCTAAATGTATTAAAACTTATGGTTTCATCTTAAAAATTGTTCAAAATGTTATACCACGTATATCTTAGTTTATTACGTAGTACTCCTTATTTCACATTTAGCGGTACTATAAAGTAGGGAAAAATAATTAAAATACCCCAAACTTTGAAGGGGTGTGATATAAACACCCCAAACTTTCATATGTAATTTAAATACCCCAAACTTTATATAAAAAGTTATTCTAACACCATGATCATGTATCATTTCAAAAATTTATGATGTTAATTGTATAATTTAAAATAGCAAATTGAAAACATTCCAATTTTATAGAGTTTCGGGGGGGGGGGGGATACTGTTTATTTTACAATGAATGTTTATTAATTGTATCTTCATGAACGCTAAAGTGTTTTAAAAAAATAATACAAGATCATGGTGCTAAAATAACTTTTCATATAAAGTTTGGGGTATTTAAATTACATATGCAAGTTTGGGGTATTTAAATTACATATGCAAGTTTGGGGTATTTTAATTATTTTTCCCTATAAAGTATGGGCTCTGTACTATTTGAAAATAGTTTTACTAAGTAACTCATTGAATTGAAGAGTATAGTATTCAACATTCATTATGTATGCTACTGCAGCTGTTCCAATGGTGGATGCCATGGTAGCGCTGGTGCTGGTTGACCAATTGATGGCACAATACGCTCAATGCATGTTATTCCCAATAAATCCAGCCTTACAGGAACCCTTGCTCTCACACCCTGAACCAGCGGCAGCCAATGTTTCCCTTTGAATGCATGATTTTTTTTTGGGGGGTTCCAAACATGCTTTCCTTCCTTATTATTCCACAGAAATGCAAGTGTTGTTTTGTTATTATTATTTATATATAGATACTTTAATTTTCTGTTTACCTTCCGTGAAGAATAAGGCCTTTACTCTGGCAATTTAAGGCCCTTTTGTATTTGTATTGACAGAAGTTATGAATTATATAGTTAGATACTTGCTATGTTTTTTTGGCTCCCCTCTTTGGAATGTATCTTGGGTTACAAGAAGTATTACTTGTATGAAATCTAAATGTTGTTAGGAGTCTAAACAGGTTATTTATGTAACTAGAGTAATTGATCACAATTAAACCTCAGTTGATACGGAGAAATTCCAGGGTCCTATTACTCCAATATTGCGGTATTGCCTGTCAAGCTGCCTATTTCAGTGGCTATTTGGAAGAATATTGGAAGTAGGGGTGGACTGATGCGGTTTTGGCCCTTGGAGAAAATTCTATAGATATGGTACTCTCATTTTATTTGGTCATGTATTCAACAAATTTTGGGGTTGGGATATTCGGATTTATAGAGTTTAAAATGCACCATATTTTCTGAAGATATACTATGCATAAATTTGGCGCGTTAACTATTTGTCATTTAAAAAATGCATTAACTATTTGTCATTTAAATCTCATGTGTTATGATTAATAATGCGCAACTCTCTATAGGAACAAATTTAACTATTTGAAAGTTGAAACTTGTGTGCCTTAATATAGACATATAGTGATTGATTATGCAAGCAAGTTTGTCAAATCTTTAAAGGATACAAAAATAATAATCATTTTCTTTTACTACGTATTAGACAATTAAACTTGTTCATGGAGGTTTAGTGCCTTAAACTTGTTTATGAGCTTTTTAGTAATTGTTAGTTTTTTAGTTATTGAAGATATCTTAAAAGAAAAAAGTAGTAGATGTTTAATAAAAAGCTGACTATTTGTTTTAGTTCTGTTTGGTATACAAGCTGTTGGAACAAATTAACGCTAGAAGCTACTGACTTATATGAGATAATGAGATGCTACTAATTGTAGCATTTCAAAAAAGATCTTTTATTTTTATAAAGGCTCTTAAAAACTGGCATGTCAAACATATAACTAGAAGCTTTTAAAGGCTTTTTAAATAGTACAAAAGATATGAGGCATGAACTTATGTCCACCAAACATAACCTAAGTATTAACTATTCTCTCCGTCCCACTAAGATTATCCCATTTTACCTTTTCGGTCCGTCTCACTAAGATTCTCTCATACCAAATTTGATAAAGTTTGTGTGACTCTAAATCGTTCTTACTTTGTTCTTATTTTATCAATTCGATATCAACTACACAAATAACTTTTTATTGATTTGCGTGTCACTCTCTCTTGTACCTTTTTTAGTGGGACGGAGGGGTATAATGTATGAGATTTTGATACATTATTTAAATCACAAGAAGTTAAGGGGTAGTTTGGACTTATTATTTTTATTTTTTAAAAATGGAAATAGAATCAAAATCAGTTTTCAGAAGTTGGTCTTCTTAAACATCTAAAAACGACTTCTAAGAATAATTTGGAGCACCCAAAAGTACTTATGTACTTTCACCCAAACATTCAAATCTCTGCTTTTATTCTTTGAAGAAGTAAAAACAGTTTTAAGAAGTAGATTCAAACATGTTGTAATCACAAAGGGGTGTCATGCATTAAACTTGAGTTCTATATAAGTCGTCTATGATTAGTACTCGGTATATTTCGTTTGGAACTGCTTGCAGGTTAATATTATTTTTAACTATACTGTATTTTTCTGATTTATTGGTCTAGTTTGATATGAATTAGTTTAATTTGATTAATGTCTATGGAATTTCTATTTTACAATGTCAATGTTTGATCTATTGTTTAAGATTGAAACCAGTTTGACTAAAACATCCTCAAATCCTCATACTCAATATTATCGCACCATAACACTAAATAAAGGAGCAATTAATGCAAACAAGAAGTTCAAGTCGGTACTTCAAAACACAGCATCCTCATTTTATTTATTCATTTATTGTCAACACAAAACATACTCCGTATATCCCAAAGTAACCTGCACTCAGTTTCTGACTGTGTGTATTTCTCACCAATCCTAGCTCATCCCCCCCCCTCTCTCTCTCTCAAATTCTACTGTTCTGTGCTCCGTTTCTCTATCTACAATCACTGCATTTACTCGCACTGTATGTAAGCAAAAACCCTAGGACCTTGACGATCCTATCTTGATTGCCCGTCGGAGCTGAGTTCTCATTTGCCATGCCATCGAAGATCTGAGCTGATTTCCGGCCCGTTTTCTCTGTTCCCGGTTGGGTTGGCTGCTCGGCTTGCATCGGAGAAATGTATAAGAACCAGCTACAGGAACTGGCCCAGAGGAGCTGCTTCAACTTGCCGTCTTATAGTTGCATCAGAGAAGGCCCGGATCACGCGCCCCGGTTTAAGGCCACGGTGAACTTCAACGGCGAGACTTTCGAGAGTCCCCATTACTGCTCCACGCTCCGGCAGGCTGAGCATTCTGCAGCAGAGGTGGCGCTCAATGCTCTTGCCAACCGTGGACCTTCCAATTCGCTTGCAGCGAGAATTTTGGTGAGTTTTCCGATTTAGCTGGGTATAAGCTAGGGTTGTTCTAGACCCTGGAGTTCAAGTTCTCTTTGGTATGTTGTCTGTGCAGTGCTGCGATTGCATCTTTGAGATCTATTGAACATTTTATTTTCTTTGCTTTGATGGTCGATACCTATCAGAAATGAGCCGGTGGTGTTATAGTTTGAGAAAAACAACAAGATTCTTTCATGATTTCAAGATTTCTTTGGTTTGTTTCTGATATGAAGTTAGTAGGTTTTGAATTGTAAAGGAAATCAATTTACAACCTTGCACGGAAACTCTCCACTGCGCACGTTTCCACGTTTCGGAAACTCGGAAGCATTTCGGAAACTTCAAATTCCCGTTGGGCCGTTTCCGTAATTAAGAAAAAATTGGAAACTCGTTTCACTACGTTTCGGAAACCTTGGATTCCAATTTTTTTTCTTTTTTAAAGATTTTGTGGTGGAAAATAGTTTTTTTTTAAAGTGAATTTTTGTGTTATTTCTCAGCAGCAACACTTGTTACATTTCGTAATGCAATGTATTGCTAGAAATGTATTACTCCGTACTTTTTATGTTTAATTATTTACTAATATGAAATAATATCTAAATTCGAACATGTAGAGTGATTTTATTATTTGGTTACTAAACAAATTATATGAAAACAGACATGTGCATATGGAAAAACTTGTGTACATGTATTAAAAATATTTATAAATATATCCTTATATTTTATAATATTTACGCGTTCCCCCCACGTTTCGTATCCTATATTTCTTAGAAATTACGTTTCTCGCATTCCTCGTTTCCCGTTTCACATTTCCGTGCTACTTAGCAACCATCTTTAGTCTGTTAAGACACAAGGTTCCATCCTAAAAGGTCAACCTGATAGGAGGAGTAGCCCATGTATTAATATAGCACTTCGTTCATCTAAACTTTTCCGGTGTGGGACATTTAACACAGTCGTTCTTAGAAAGGTATCTGGAACTTCCTTGTATTCATTTAATCACTCTTCAAATGCTTGATAAATGGAGGTAGGTCGTAAATAGAAGGATTCTTCATTTCTTCCACTCCTTGAACAGCTTGTTTCTTTCTACCATTTGGCCAATCTTTTTTTCTCTATTTTGCATTGAAATTCAATTTACACGCTATCATTCCATTAGACATCAAATTGATAACTATGAATGCGTCTGCTTGAAAACACACACGACTTGACCCCTACTACCCTTTTCACATTGCTTAATGTGACTGCCTGTTTGGTTTTGTTAGGATTACATATTAATATTAGCACTGTTCGTTTCTGTGAGGGGAAGGGATCCTCCTACTCTTTCACGTATGGATATTAAAGGCCAAGGTGGCCACCAAAAGAAAGAATTTCAGGGGGTGACTTTCGGTGTCTTGGATTGCTCTTGGTTGTAATGTGGATTGACCCTAATTCTAGAGGGTTACTCTATTTAGAGGAGAAATGGCATATAAATTACCATAAGCATATCTAGTTAAAAAAGGGAGAACTTGTGGAGTTGCCGATAGTTTTTTCTCTATTTGCACTGAAATTCAAACAAAATGCCATCATCCATATGATATCAAACTAATATCTGTAGAGGTGCATTCCTTGATATCAAACTGATAACTGTAGAGATGCCTCCTTGACAAATACACATGTGTTGTCCCCCACTCCCTTTTTCACATTTCTCAATGTGAACTGCATATTTAGTTTTGCTAGGAATTACAAATGTGTATTGCTATTTTTTGCTTCTTTGGAGGGGGGCATCTAGGCTGAGGTGCTTCCCAAAGGGCATTATTTTGGGGTCACTTGCTGTCCTGGAATGCTCTTGGTTTTTCAGTGATGGTTTTGCCTTAGTTCTGTAGGATTACTTGTTTGTGGATAAAAGACATAAATTACCATAACCATGTAGTAAAAACAGAAAGTGGGAGAAAATTAACTAGTTAACATCTAAAAGTAAGATTAAAACTGACATCCAGGCTCAAGATCCACTGTTGGTTCCAAAACTCTCAGTCTTCTCATTGGAGCACCCCAAACTGACCAGCCACAAACCCATGAATCACATGTGGGGGTAGTTGTAGCCACACACTCATCAATCACATCTAGAATTTTGAGAGGCCAAGGTGGAACAGGCTTGGAAAGTGGGTGATCACCATCAACTTGTGGAAGATCAAACCTCCTGAAGCATTTGATCCCATCTGTTCCATGTATGAGTCCAGAAGACGGAAGTAGTTTGGGAGGGGAATGTGCCACTGGTGATGTTGTAATGGAGATGAGGAGGATGCTGACGACTAGGTAGAGAAGATGATTCGTAGGTGATGGCCTGAGAAGAAAAGCATGATCATTACCGAAAAAGAAAACGGCTTACTATTTGAGAAAATGTCATTGTGACTTTCCATTTGATAATTGTAATGGTTTGTACTTTGTAGTGCTTAAGCTTTAGAATTGGTAGTTGTGATAGGTAGGTAAGGCTATTCACTAAATCACAGTGATAGTGATTATTCATACGTATGACTGTATGAGTAACCTATTGTACTGGAGTTATATATTTATGATGTAAAGTGACATATTTTTCTCAGAGTGACCTAGTTAGTTCGCGCATTACCCATCTATTATTGTATAATAACATTTATGCATTGTCAAGACATTATCTCTAGTTTTAATACAGTCTTTAAAGTTGTACCTAAATAGCTAATAGCTTCTATGCAATGCTTCTGTCTTTTTTACTCTACTCTTGCAAATTGCATCTGGTACATGAGTATAGTATCCTTTTATGTTTATTATTCTATTTACTTTAGTGCAAAAAATCTACAGGATGAGACTGGGGTATACAAAAATCTCTTGCAAGAGGTTTCTCAAAGAGTAGGGGCATCATTGCCAGTCTATACAACTTTCAGATCAGGCCTAGGACATCTACCCATCTTCACGGGTACTGTAGAGTTGGCAGGTGTTATATTTAGTGGAGAGCCAGCTAAAAATAAAAAGCAAGCTGAAAAAAATGCAGCCATGGCAGCTTGGTCATCCCTGAAA